TTTCTGTCCAAAGCGGGAATCCCGTAGGACTTTTATGGGATTCACGTGGAAGCTCCGCAGGATTTCACATTTTTCCCTGACTTACGGGACTGTCGACTAGGGACTGTACACTTATACTATGGTAAAAATTCAGCTTGATCAGATAGGCCTTTGTGATCGAAGTGCTGCGTCACGATTAGGAGTGCATCGGGTTTTTTTTCGTATTTTTCAACAATTCACAATAAATGAGTTATGCTTTCGTAAAAATGACTTGTGACATTCTTTTAAAACGGCAATTTTGTGGAGAAAACATTTCTCTACAACATGCTATATAGTAGTTAATCTTAAAGTTTCTTGATTTCTTTAAAAAGCATTTTTGGTAGAGAAGCGTGTCGGTTAAAAACCGCGGTTATAACCGACGGTTTTAACCGACTGTAGGTTTTGAAGAAAACGCTTTCTAAAGCAAACAAGAACTTCTAAAATGCCTTCTATATACCATCTTGTAGAGAAATGTTTTCTCTACAAAACTGCCGTTTTAAAAGAATGTTACAATCGTTTTTAAGAAAATACAAACCATTTATGAATTTTTCAAACATACGAAAAAAAACAGATGCACTCTCAGTCACGATCACTCAGGTGAGGTCAGATGGGTTTGTGAATTCCCATTATCTCGTCTATAATATATAATATAATACATGCACACGGCTTGTCCAAGCGTGACACTGTGACATTTTTGATAGAGTAATTTGAGCTTTTCTCAAAAAGTGTATAAGCTAGAACCGTCGTTCTTGCGCCGTTCGACGCAGCTCGCCATACTCTACTTTTGCTATAAAAATGAAGGTATGTGGTTAAGGACTCAAACTTTTAGAAGCGTTTTTCGGCGCGTGACGCTGTGACAAAAAAAGGCCGTAAATTCGAAGTTCTTCTCGTTAAAGGCTAATTTGCTGCGAATTTAGAAGAGCTAATAAAAAGCGTCTCGAGTAAAGTTTATGGAGGAGTAAACGAGCTACTGATTGTTAACAAAGAATCTTTCCAAAGAGCTTTCCATCCCTCAATAATTGTGTTTTATCACCGTGACGCTATGACACTCGTTTTTCCCAACAAAGTTTGGAGCACTAAACATTGCTCAAAGGGTTTTATTTTCACATCAGACTTAGGTTTAGACATCTAATATAGACTAAAGTGAAAATAAAGCTAAAAAAATGTTTTCACTTTCTTAGAATTGTGTGAAAATCTTAAAACTTAAAACTTTATTAAAAAGCTTGTTCTCAGTCTAAACTTCAAAAGAAACATATCATCTTGTATAGAATCGAATTCTCTATCGATTAGTATGGCCGTCCAATTTTATTAGGAAAAGTGTCTAGGTGAGAAAATTGAAAATACAGTTTTCAAAAAATGTAAAACTGGATTCTTAGTACCAAAATTTAACGTTTTTCAAAACTAATGTGAGATTCGTAATCAGCGTCAAAAACTGCATCTAGTGATATGCTCCTATCAGTTCTACTCTAAAACAATTTTTTCAAAAACTTGATCAGCGAAATCTCGAGTTACGTGGACAAGCCCTACAGCAGGGTTTTGTAACCCAAAATAGTGGCAATATGCTGTCTCGTGAGTTATTCTTATACTAGCTGCTCTCCCTTTCGTCCGTACTCTGATGCACTAAATCACCGACACGAACTCTGTACCTAGCAAAGTTTCCAAGTCGAATATTCAATAAATATATTATTGTGCACATGCCTGGATGTGCATGTATTATATTATATATTACAGAAGACATAATGAGAATTCGCACGACCCAAGCTAACCTATAAGGGGAAACAGCTGAATTTGAAACGTTTTTGAATTTCCATGAATTTGACTGAATTTAAGTGAATTTAGCTGCATCCTGATTGACTTTGAGATAGAAATCTATCAGCTTTCTTTTATAGATAGATAGTCCAAAGTGTCCTCTCCAAAATCAGAACTAATATCTCTTAATTTTTCCTGATTCATGGGCGCCATCAGATTTCCTGAGAGTCCTGGATCAATATTTCTTTAGGTGTGGTAATTCCGAAAATAAATGGAAATTCATGTCATTGGCTCAATCCTTTATTGAGCCAATGAAATGTGGGGTTCGTTTAATCGGAATATTGTAGAACTTTTCAAGAGCTATTTTTGTGTGTCAAGCTTTAGGATAAATTCGTACTAGATTTTGACAAAATCGTTTTTGCTAAGCATCGATATGCTTTATGTACCTCGTCAGAAAAGCTAATTTAAAAAGTCACCATTAGGTTATAATGGTACATATGCACATCAAAATGTGTAAAATCGTTTTCTCTACAAAATGGGATCAAGACTAGGTCCAAAAAGCAGTGAGCCCCCTCCTTTCCGAAGTACAAAAATGTTTTTCACTATTCTCAAGTAAAAAATCGTATTGAGCAGGTAAAATAGAGTTCATCTTGGTATTCTAGCATAATCCGGATATTTTGAATGGATTATGAATTTTTTAATATTACTCAAAAATAGGCAAAAATGGGTTATTTCATCTAATATAGGTTTTCACTAGATTTCTGGAACTGTTTTGAAAATCAAATATTGCTACGAGATTCAGCGTGGTCGATTATCTATGTTTCCATTTATTTTCGGAATTACCAAGAAATTCAAATTTCGAATGTCAAATTACTCGCCTTGTGTATGTTTTGTATACTGTATATGTATTTCAACCTCATCGTAGGCTAGGTCAAGTCAGGTTATGTGGAAATTGTTATTCTTACTGTGAGAATAGCCCACGACGAAGAGTATTGAAATATAAACTTGTAAGATCATATTACAAGATATCATCAGAGCTAAGATTTCAGAAGAGTCTTGGTGATGAGAGAGATAAGAGTGAGCTACGAGACAAAATTTTAATGTTTGTTCTCGCTGCGTTCCAATGGATATGCGTTCTTTGACAATACATTTCGACCCAACGTTCTGACAGGTTCGACACCGCTAGTAACGTGGAAAAAGAAAGTTGTAAACTCCATCATTCCATAGGTTACCACAAAAAATATACATGAACCTGGATTTTCACATAACCTGACCTGACATAATCTTCGTTAAAGTCGAAATAGCCAGACAGATATAGATGTGCATATATATCGTGAGAATAAGAATTCAATTCCCACAGGATGAAGTGGAAATATATACACAGTAAGATGTGATAAATATATTGTTAGAACAAGAATTACAATTTCCACATAGCCTGACTCGACCTAACCTATAGTGAAGTCAAAATATATACACAGTATGATCTGTATATATATTGTCAGAATAAGAATTACAATTCGATACAACCTGACCCGACCTAACCTTGACTGATGTCGAAATATATACATGGACAGAGGATGCATATGCATTTGGAAGGATATGAACCTGATAATACACCTAAGGGGAGATAACTACTACGAAATCCTGGGTCGACGTTTTTTGCATTTACAAAACATCGGAACGTGCCATGCACTCAGTAACTAGTAACGAGTAACTACTCTCGTTACCAGTAACCAAATAACTGATGCAGTTACTCGTTACTAGTAGCTAGTAACTAACTAATTTAGTTACTAGGTTACCAGCAACGAGTAACTAATCTAGTTACTGCGTTACTCTCCTGAAGGTAACGAAGTAACGAAAATGTTTTTTAAGGGAAAAGGCACGTTCAACTTCTTTTCGATATTCTCTGTCATTCTAACATATAAAACTTGATATGAAAATGTCACCTTTCCCTAGTATGACTAAAGCTCTAGAAGTATTAGTTATAACGCAAAATGAGAATATTTCTCATAACATTTAGGTGCTTTGACTTAAAATTTTTTTTAAGATTGTCGAAACCATCGACAAAAGCTGCGTCGCTACAAAATTATTTCAATACTTCATGAGAGTATTGCAAGAAATGAAGAGAAGGAGTAGTCTTTCAGATCTTCTTATCGCGTTCTGGTCCTAACTTTCAAAAATATTTACGCACCTAAACGAAAAAACATTTAGTCGTATGTTGAGCAAATAAAGTTAACTCTATTTGTTTTCCTATTCTTAACTGATTATTGATAATCAGTGTATTTTTTTGACATGCTAAAGAAAAATATAATAAGACAAAACAATACAATATCAACATGAGAGTATATAATAAAAGCAAAGAATTAAAAATATTTCGTTAGTTCGTTACTTTCTCGAGAGTAATGAAGAAACTAGATTAGTTACTTAGCAAATAGTAACTATGTAACTAAGTTCGTTACTTTACCGTAAAGTAACGCCGAGTAACTAGTAAAGTGCCACTCCTACTATCTATCTATAAAAAAAACTGATGGATTTCTATCCCAGTTTTCGAAGTTTTTCACAGATATCCTAGGAAACCGGTCGTCCAAATGGTTTCGCAAAAGGGTTTGGTTATGAAATCATAGGCTAAACTGTCTTCTTTCGATTGTTGAAGATTGCAAGTTCCTCTCTTTTATCATGTTGGAGTTATTCGGAAAACAACCAAGTGCCTTGAATTCTGGCGCCGATAGTAGAAAGGAAAGAGAAATCTAAATGCTGCTAGACGAATGTTCTTCGTAGTATTGGCTGCTTAGTACCCACACCGTTATCATGGTAGTTTTCGGAGGCTAACTAGCATCTCTCTGTCTGACTCTTATTCAATTTAAGTAAAGTTTCTTTGACTTTTAAGAATTTACGTGAATTTTAGTGAATTCGGTGAAGTTTGAAGTTATTTGAATTTAACGGACTAAATTCAACTGTTTTCCCCTTGCTAACCTAGCTCACTCAACTTCTCACGCACGTATGCTAGACATTCTCTACAAAGGCACCGCTTAGATACGTTATACCGCGAACGTGGATTATGCAATTCAGTTTTCGAAAAGAAGAGTTTGTGTATGAGATATCTTGCAATGAATGAGTAACTAACTGTTCAGTAGTATCAAAACTCTATAGCTTTCACTGAATCTATAACAACTGTCACGAATATTTAGATGTAACAAAACTAAAATAAAAATTAAAAACTATTTTTCTTAATATCATGAGCGTCGTAAATAACTCATACAAGAACGTATCTGATCCCACAATTGGTGCATGAATCCACTTTTGGACTCAATATTTGTGTTATCTATTTGACGCCGCGAATCAGTTGGTTTAGCCGATGGTGTAGACGAGAAACCAACGTTATTGATAATATTTTGTGGATTATTTGGACATGAATCCTAAAATAGGATAAAGAACAAAATTCGTTAGCCAGTGATTTCGTATTGTTCACTTCATGATACGTTAAATGCTGCACATCTTGATATATGCCACAGTAAGAACACAGAACGCCTTGTAAAGATGGTTTAACTTCAATCGGCAATCTCTTGAGCGATGCAGCTGCTATTTTTCTAGAAAAATAAAGGTTCAATTATATCACCATTCATTCAGATGCAAAAAATCAAAATATCTACTTAGCAAGATTAACGCTTGCTGCTTCTTCACAATACTTCTATCAATAAGAAAAAGAACAAATTTCAACATATTTGTTAAGAAGTAATTAATTGGTTTAGTAACATACAGTATGTTCTTTGTAAACATTTGCTGATATTAATTTTGTGCATATATCGCATGGTATTACAACGTCGTCTGTTTCACTCCCTACACAAATAGTAATGTTATTCATGTCATAAACAGTTAATCTGTTAAAAGTTTACTGGAAAACTGGGAATTCCATAGAGTAGAGGGATTTTGTTGATTTGATTCTGTTGAATTTCGAAAAGTAGCGGTGAGTTGAGATGATTGATTCACCTGAGAATGAAAAAAAGAACTTTGTTTGCATACAAAAATGATTCATTTTGGTTGCAAATACTGTGCGCAGTAGGAGGCTTAAAAAATCAAAATCGTTAAAATACGTGCGTCTCCTACCTGTAGGTCCAAAAGTGAACGCAATAAGTCCGAAAATAAGGGACGCTTTTTAATGACTTGAGACATACATTTGTAAATTAAAAGCCAATTCTCATCATTGCATACTGCTGGTTTACTTAATCTCTCACCGGGAGTTATTCGTTTTTCACGTATCTAAATCAGCCACTTCGACGAATGATAAAGACGTTCCTACACTCTATTGATTTGACTTTTTTACGTTCATCAGTGATTGCAATATAATTCGATGTAATATTTGCATGTTCCACAATTATCACACGTTGACAAACGGCATCATCATTTATAATGAGAGACCATGGCATTTCTCCTTTGGAAAAGGATTCCCACATGAGTACACCCATCGAATACACATCTGATCGTTCTGAATAGGATTCTGGAGAATTATCGATGAGTATCTCGGGTGCTGCATATCGTACTGGAATAATATCTCTGGGGCTTTTAGCAGAATTATCAATATATGTGTACAATGTACTTGCTTGACTAAGACCAAAATCGGTCAGTTTTACCAAATTATTTTGTGCTTCATTCGCATCAAAACGAAATACGAGAACATTACGACAAGCTAAATCACCGTGAATAATACATTTATTAGTAAGAAAGATCATTGCATCAGAAATTTGAATAAATATTTCAAAAAGGACAGTATCGCTCGGTACTTCTGTTTGTTCCTGAAGTAATTCGCATAGATTTCCTTCTGGTGCATATTCTTGCAGCAATGTCACGGAATCCGGTAATGTTTGCGTGTACAAATCGTCAACAAGACCATATGTATGTACGACGTGTGGATGATTGCTTAATTCAACATAAAACGATGCTTCTTTTTGAGCTCGAACACCACTAATTCTTAATAAAACAATGCTTGGACCATTTTTTGTGTTGTTTAACCACTCGGCTCTCCATATGCACTTACCGGTTACTTTAAACAGTGGTCGATTACCTTTTTTTCTTACATCAACATCAACTCTGAACAAATATTTATTCGATTTTGTTCGTAATTCAAAGTCTTCAACTAATTTTTTTACTTTTTGATTTGATCTTAATCCGTTAATAGTGAGACGTTGTCGAGTAATCGGACTAACACCTGTACGTTGAATCCAATCGACTATAGCTTGACGTTCGTACGTTTGACCGTCTTCAGCCGTTACCGGATCATGAAATAATCGATATGTAATTGGACATATAAGTAAATCTGACTCCGAAAAAGCAGCATTATTATTACTCATTCTATTATTAATCTAAAAGCTATACCATAAGCAAGAAAAAACGACATGTTCTCACTGTTTGATCATTTTATAATCTATATTCAACGTTTTTTTCAACGAATATTTGTGCATTATATATTAGTCATTTATGAGACAGCGTAACTGATTTCATAAGTTGGATCATGCTGAAAGTGCATTTTGTCTACTCTTTTCGCGAATTTGGATGAAATATCTGTAGAATCTACAGTAACAGAAACGCATATGTTTATTTTGTTATTATTTATAAGAACGAGAAAAAAGTCATTCTTTAACACGTTTTACATGCAAAATACAAAAGGTATGAGTACAACGCATAGTAAAAATGCTGGGACAGACTCTTTTGGCATTTTTTTAATTCGTTTGACAGTTCACTCTGGTATAATGTCTATCATGGCTACATATGACTCATTTTGCCAAATATTTAGATCATTTAGAGTTTACTTTAACGCAAAGAATTAGATGTCGCAAAAATACGGTATTTTGTGGACAAAAAACGAAAACATTTCTTCTCATTAGGAAGTAAAGTAAAAAAAATCATCCTTTCTGCGTGCTTCATGTTTCTTAGCTGTTTTGGGTCAGAATAAGGATAATCCTTAAAGAACAGTTTGTTGCGCCTTCCCAGATTTCGTAGAAGTTAAAAATTTCATCTTTTTTATTCTCGAGGTGTGAAATTTTACTTTAGTTTTAAAACTCTATAGTTCAAGATTTTTCCAAACCTTCTTTATTAAATGTCTCCTCTTTTCAGCGACTATGTAGCGCCGTTTTTACTTTACTTTCTAATGAAAGGAATAAAAAGTGTTTCTTTTTCTGTCCAGAACTTTTTGGAAAACATCGTGTTTTTGCGACATCTAATACTTTGAGTTAAAGCGTTATTCGGGATAGTGAGACAGTTGATCTCTTGAAGATAAGTTTGAAGGAGACCGTCGCTAGAAATGAATACTTGCCGATAGAAACATCAACATATCGATTGACCATAATCGCCATCATTAGTCTCCCAGTATCCGGCCCAGTTAACTGCTTATGGGATACCAATTATTATCAATAGAACGAACTTCATTTTTGAAAATAGTTGTGAATATGCTGTGTTACAGAAGAGACAATGTATAATAGACTAATAAACAGATAATAGTGAATAAAGAAAATTAAAATAGTGAAAAAATTTAAAAATAAACGTGGTAAATCTCGTAAAACGGAGGTGTTATTTTAATATGTAACGGCCTATACTGCACTTTTCACGTTAATACACAGTACATAGACGAAGATATACTTGTCAGTTTTGATACATGTGAGACCTGCAAGCAAATTTTACCGTTTGGATCAACTTTTTTTGAAAAATGAATATTTGCATAAGCAGTTTTAACATTTTTATGTAAAATTACAAATAGGAGTTAATGACTTATTCATGGTTTTCAACTATCACTGATTACGAGAACTGATTTTTTCATCTTCTCTTATTCTATACAACAAATGTACATAACTGAATTTAAAAATCTGGGTTTCCATGTAGCAACAGGGGTGGCAACCGAAGATTCATAGTATTGTATATTTATCCGTTTACGTTGACGATATATAACAAAGTTGAGTAACGTTATTGTAGTGAATAAAGTGGTGAATCCCTGTTAACAAAACTCACAGCCTGCGATGTCAAAAATACAGTAGTTATCTGAAAACGACTATGAGTTCAGTTTCTTATGCATCCGTTATTTTAACTTCGTTCTTTGCCTGTAACAGAAGAATTATTTTACATAGACATGAGCTGTAGTTTTGGGACTCTCGTAGAAATTTTTAATAAATAGATGAAATACTTTCAATTCAGAATTGTAGCATGCCTATGATTCGCCACTTCATTCACTACAATAACGTTACTCAACTTTGTTATACAAGGTAACGCTCGTCTCCACTCGCTCGCCCCCTTGACTTTATTAAGTTGGATCTGCGCAAGCGAACGTCCTTTCGTGACTTTTAAATCGAACACAATGCTCACGCCCTTCCTTCGGCTCTCGCTGGGCGCCTAACTAAGGTATCTTCTGGATTTTTGTTCATTTTTTATGTATAAGGTTCGTAGTCTGATATTAATATATAAATCAAGAATCTCTAGAGGTCTAAACATAATTCTGAATTAAAAA